GATAACTTTTCCATTTGACATGCAGGGGTAAATTTGCATCAATTCTATGGTACTTAATGACATGAGGCATCATAATGCTGCATACTTTCTTGTCATATGAGATCATTCTATTAGTATTCTCCGTCTCCAAGGACTGTTTGTGTTCTATATAGTTAGGTCTAGGATTATGTATTTGGTTCTCTTCTTTTTAATAGTGATTGTTGTGCTAATATACTTAAAAGTATTTTCACCCGCCAGAAAGCAAAGCCAAAAGAACTTTGATGTATCTGTGTTTCCTTTGTAGACTGCAGGGTCCTTTGATCAGAAAGAGTTCTGACCAATGGATTACTACTTCAGTTTTTGAATATTTCCATGTGCTACCTTATGCGCAGGTGATCAGAGAATGTTTCTTAAGTTTTGTGAAATTTCTCAACATGTTATCATCATCTATATTCTTTAAACTGCAAAAGTTATATGGATTTTATAAAGCTGTTCTTGAACTTTTTCACATTTTAGCTTTACTTGCCATCTTTTCACAAGCAATAAATTTTAAACATTTAGTGTAGAGTGAATTTTCTTTCTAACATTCGGTTTTGCCATGTGAAATATTGCTATTGGCTTGCAAGTGATTTAGCTAAGCTAAAACATCTTCACCGTATAAAATTCTGTTTTCTTGTCTGGGGTGTTTTTCAGAAATATAGTGGTAGTGCTACTGATATCTATGTTCTCTCATGAATGTGAGTTTACATTTTACCCTTAATTAGGAAATATTTGTTTTTTAGCTAATTATTGAGCAAAGATAAATCCATTGCATTTTTGTTAAAGGTAGAGACCATGGCCAGGGATCAACAACCCGCCATAATAGCCAGGGATCAACAACCCGCCATAATACTAACTTCAGTCTCTGCACTAGGTGCAGCTTTTGGTGCAAAATTTCTTGAAGTATCTGGCATGTTGTTTTCTTTGAGTTCCTTGCAAGCTCAGTGTCATTTATTTTAGACATCTTTGACTTGCATACATGGTTATATTATTTAGCAGTTGCCTTACGGTTTTGGATTTTATAAATATTATTACTATCCCTTTTCCGGTGGAGAGGCCATATACTAAAGATACTATTTTACCTTCATGTCAAAAGTTAGAAACTACTATTCTCATTATCCAAACTTACTTACCTACTCAAAGTTTTCACTTACAAGCTGTGAAGAAAATTAAAAAAGGGAGAAGCTTGAAGCAAAAACTGAAAGAAAGGCATAGTTCTTATTATTATGAGATGATATTACTGTCAAGTGCAAAGCCTTTATATATAGGCTTAGTGACGCATTTGCCAAGAAACAAATAATCAATCCATAATAATTCCAAATCAACTCTAGGGCCTATTACTATAATTGACTCAACCACAGTCATACTAAACAAAGCCTAATTAGGCTATTTTGAGCCTATTTTTCTGATGACATGGCATTTTCTTCTCTTGGCGTCAAACTAGTTACAAAGAAAGAGTTAATCAATCTTATTTGGATACTTCTAAAGAAAATGTCATGTCATGGAAAGACTAAGCCCAAAATCAGCAAGAGCTTAATGGGTATTGAAGGGGAAAAGACGGAATGATGATGTATGATTATTTCAGCTATTAAATTATGGCTAGTTTATTTCAACAGAAATGTAGGAGGGCTAATTCATTCAACTTGAAAGTATGAGGAGACATTTATTTTAAGAATAAGGGTTCATTTCAATATCACTGGAAGTGGAGAGGTGAATATACCCTTTTTGCCTTCTTTTTTATTCCCATTTATTCCAAATTATCTAGGCATATGAGCTGTCTTTGCCTTCTGTTATTTTATGCTAGGTTGTTATCTTCTACCGTATGGAAGAGATGGTGGTGTAATTCATCAATCTTTTGAAATGTGTTTTACTTTAAAGTGTTTTACTTTACAGGAAAGCATTTGCTGACAATCTACAAGATCAGAGTTCAGGAGAAAGAGAAAGAGAACTGGATTTAAACAGCCCCGAAAGGGGTGAAAGACAGTGTGATTTAGAATCTCATACTGATGGTGATGGATATAGATGCCAGATAAACAGTGGTATCGTGGAAGCTGCTGAAACTGGTGCTAGTATTGAATCAACAACACAGAATGTTAACGACAGGCATTGTACCAATGGTTTTTCAGATGTTATCAGCAGTCCCCACAATATGGATGTTGATGACTCTGCTGGAGTTCACTGGGAATGCAAAGCTACAATTGAAGATATTAACCGTAGGGTCGAACTTAGTCCTCACCAAATTGTGAACCCTTGCAAAGAGAGTGATTTAAGTGTCACAAATGAGGGTGCAAAGGTTGGTTTATTATCCTTGTCTTTGTCAGTATAGTTCTTTAACTCTTTTATTTCGTTGTTTGGCTTAGTCTTGCGTAAGATAGTTCAATTTTATGAGATCCCCTCTTAGGGTAGACATGCAGACACTTGTTAGCAAAGCTTACCTAGCAGTTTAAGCTATTATAACAAGTGACCATTTAACATTATATTAGGGTTGACTTATAGCAAAGCTACTAGCCTATTATAACCACTGACCACTTGACTTAAAAGTCTCAGGGTTTGGATCTGTAGAATCTTTATATGTTAATATTGAAGTTAAGCACTTATATAAGTAAGGTCATATGCTTCAAGTGGTTGCAAAGGCTAACAGGCTTGTGGGTTAACCCAGTCCTTGCAAGTAAGGATGTGTATTAGATCTATATAATGCTTAGGCCTTGCATATTAGGCTAGCTTAAGCTTTTACGACAAGTGGCAATACAGCTTAAAACAATAAATAGTATTATGGGTGAATTAAAACTTAACAGGGAGAAAAAATATCCAAGGTTTGGTTGGTTTAAGTACATTGAAACCCAATTTCTAAATGTCGTGCTCTTCATCTGACAAGGCAATATGCCCAAGGGATGATGTAGTTCGTTTGGGGGTATGTTACTGTAAAGAGTAACACTTTGTGGAGACAAGTGCGTTTTTTGAACTGAGAATGTTGGTGGCTTTAATAATATTGCTGGTGGCTGTGACTGGAGCCTGGTTTGCTTTTTGGTATGAAAGAGAGTCAACTCAAGAAGCACGGTGACATCAATTTTTGCTCCCGTGTAAAAATGTAATTAAAAAAATTTAAATCAATATATAGGTGTTATGTAATATATAGTTATCATTTTTGGGTTCCCTCTTTAAATATTTTTTGAGGTGGTCGGAATCTAAAAATTAGGCAGGCATCTGGCCGGAGTCGAGCGACTTCGCCGGATTTTAGGAAATATGGTCGGAGTCCTTTTTATTTTCTTATTGTTTTATTTTTCATATTCCTTTTCTTTTGGAATTAAACATATGACTGATAAAGTTGTTACATAGGATTTAGTTGCTATTTCATGAGTGGGGTCTTTGTTCTCACTAACTATATCTTAACCAACTTTATTTTCTCATTGTTTTATTTTTCATTTTCCTTTTCTTTTGCATCTATGTTGAAAACAAGGATAATTCATGACCGAAACCATTTCATTCTCTCTTGGAGGTTTGATTTTTGGTCATTAAGGTCTTCATGCATCAAACAAGATACACAAAATACCAACATCTTTGTAGTTTAATCAATTTGACATAGAGTTTTGTGATTTTTATACTTTTATGATTGCTATTCATGAAAATTATATATTAGTATTCTAAATGCTTTTTAATGCTTGGTTACCAATAAAATTGATATATAGAGCATAATTGAGATCTAGAGGAGATTTTATACAATAATTTCTAATAATATATACACCAAGAGTTGAATGTAAGTCAGAGATAGACCGATTTGATTTGTGCAGTATTAGTAATAAGTAGATTTGATTTTTTATGTAAATTAGGGAATTTCATATATTAAGTGTCTTTATGCATAATTTATATTATACAACAAAACACTTAATATGTCATTACACAAATTAAAAGGAATCCTAACCCAGCTCCTAATGCAACTTTAAAGATAAGACGCAGGATAATAATGAACTGACTCATCATAACAGAAAAAACAACATAACCCCATCCCATACAAGCAATTTATCAAACACCTGGTGTACATGACACAAAAAGCTTCTAATCTACCTTGACCATTCTCTCAAAA